CGGTCTTTGTCCAATCCAATCCATCTCCACTTTCTTCTGCATGTTCGTTGGGCGATGGGTTCTTGGTTGGTTCGTTGCCAGCCAGAGTTCCTTGTTGCTTATTCCTATTATTCTGGCCGTCTGATCTTCAGTCTCAAGCAAGCGTAGGTGGCAGCTGTTGACTTATGTCTGTAGTTTGTTGGGAATGTTTTCGTAACGCGCCAACTCCCTGAACCGTCACATAGAAGCACTGGTTTGACGTTAGTGTTGAAAATCCAGATGTTGTTCTTTATGCTGAGTGTAGTGCAGTGCAGTAGATCTGCACATTGATTTCAGATCAGTGAAGGCATGTGTTGGTGTCTTTCCGATGATTGGTTTGACGTCCTCATCTGTGCCGCTGCGTGTAGTTGAAATGATGGTGCCAGGGTAGGTAGGTAGGTGAGAGAGACAACTTCCTTTAGATTTCTCACATGAATGGTAATTGGTGCTGGTTGTTGTTGGTTGGTAATTTCATCAGCTCTTTCTTCTCTACGTTCACCGAAGCGAGTGCTGTCTTCCCTGTTTTATGTCTTCTGTCAGCATTTTATTTTTCCCCTATACATCTTGGATTCGTGCGACATTAGGTGTAAGTCGTCGGCGAAATTCAAATCTTCTAGGGTCTTTCCATTGGTCGAGCAGCGTATACTCCTCTTCTGTTGCCTCACAGTTCTGTCCAGCCTGGTCTACCGCAATCAGGAATATCATTGGTGATGGTAGGCAGCATCCTTGTCTTACCTATCAACCTGTCTTCACTCCAAAGGCGTCACTGAGCTTTCCGTTGTGAATGACTTGGCATGTAGCATCACATCATATAGCTATTGAATGAGTTTGATAAAGGTTTGTTTCACATAAACCATAGTATTAAAGCAGTTGCCAAATTACTTTTCGGTCGACGGTGTCGAAGGTTTTTTCAATTTCGATGAAGTAAAGGTAAAAATTTGACAAGCATTCTATGCTCTGTTCTATGATGATGCGTAACATAGCGTTGCAATTTGATCACGACGTGGTTTGTTCTTCCCGAAACCAGCTCATTCCTCCTTAGCGTGAGATAATATTGTCTGGGAGTTCTGAAGCACCATATAGTTTATGCATATGAAGTGATGTGGTTCAGTATGTTGATAACTTTTATTATTTAAGGGGGTTTCTTGGTTCTGCTGTTTTGTCGTTGATGTCAGTACCTGTTTTTTATTTGCCAAACTGTAGCCTCTGGCTTAATAATTCTGAAGACATTCAACTAACTTTCATTATCTAACCGTAATTTATATCTGTTTACTCTTACCTCCTATGTAATCATATATACTGCCTCAGAAGTTATCAGATACAAAAGCCCATGCACAGTTTAAGGTATAAAGTTAGTCTATACCATATGGTTGTGTTACGCACACGGACCTTCTGTTTACTCCAACTATCAGTGTTAGCTAAAGTGTGTTAACTGTATGAGGAAGTTGAGAAAAGTGCATAAGTATTCTGTGGAATCATTTCCTCTCTTATTCCATTTTAATTCATCTTATATTCATTCACTTTTGGTTTCGTACTACTGTAGAGTGCTCTAATTTAAACTACTTTCCTTTTCTTTGATTTAAGTATATCTTTTCACAATGATGTTTCTTCTTTGTTTGTTAATGATTCACTTCTTCAGCCTAGCGTAAATTCTATAGTTATGCTACTTAATATTTTTGAAGATGTATAAATCTTGAGTTCGACTGGTCTAAAGGAAACATCTGTTATTCTTTTTACTACTTGATAGCTGCAGTAAATGGCTGTCTAGATCTATGTCACAGTTTCCAACAATTTTTGGATATGATGTATCTAAGTAAGCTTTGTTTTGTAGTTGAGATATTCAATAGGCCTTTGCGAAATTCAGGCTTCCCGCTTATATAATTATATTTATTGAAAAAATGAGGCTGTAGGAAATTGTCCTACATGCATTCATTTACTCTTCATCTCTGACTTCTGTAGATTATTTAACTTCCATTTTAGATAGATATATTGAATATCCACTTTACACAGCTTGGTAGAAATAGAAACTTATCATTCAACACTGATATTATGCACGAAAAAACTCATTTGATGAAGCTAAGTGGTGTATCTCAAATCCATTAGGTCATTTGATGTTTTATGCGATCAAATCGTTGCATTTACCAGTGCTAATATTGGTGATGATAAACACAAATCTCATTTGAATATGAGATGAATTACATTGTCAGCATAACTTTGCATAAATTTCTGATTATGAAACACTGCTTGACAGTGTTTTAAATTTCTAAGACCATTTCCATAATGCTTGTGAGTAGATTTATAGTCATTTATTAGTTGAATAATTGATGTTTTTTTTTCCTAAAGAAAACGATTTTAACCTCTTTTAATTTTAAACCACATGACTACTTTTTAATGTGATGGCTTTAGTATTTAATATAGATATAGATTCAATTTAGTAATCATTAACTTACCATTGAACATTTAATCTTTGAAGTCATTAAATGTTAAAAATAAACCTTCAATGCTCAAAAGTCTACCTATCTTATAGCCTTTCTCTTCTTAATGAGACTAGTTTCTGGCTAGAAAGATGCTAAAGACAATTGAAAAACCACCTCAAATATCGATATCAGATTGTTTATTTAATATAGCATACAATGATACAGTTTTATTCGCTGTATAATGATTTAGATAGAATTTATTGGTCATATTCATATCAAGGTAATCGTATGACTTTCAAACTTTCTTCATACTTTTGTCTTAATGGTAGTAAAATTTTCCAGATATATCCATATGTGTTAGGTGTTGTATCAATGAACAGTGGTTGTGTGATCATTCTCTTCGTTCATCTAGGTATATCAGATTTTAGAATTTTCATCCTATCCCTCCCCACAGTGTGATTATGGGTCAATGTATGCAGAGCGATAGTCGAATTCTTCTCAAAATTACTAATCTTAGTAGGGTCCGCCATTGTATGCATCATTGTATGGTTTTCATACATGCTAGTTTGTGATTAGTTACAATCCAGTTCACTTATTTATTAGAATATGAAGAAGGAGAGTTACCCCTATGTTGGATTGCAAAATCAGGAGAAGAAAAGATGAAAGCTTAAGTAACAGTATTTATAGGACATCAAAACATTCCATTAGATACTTAGATTCCACACCGTCTCACCCCATATCTGACAAGGTAGGTTTGATAAAATGTCTAAGTAATCAGGTTAGGAGTTTGACTAGTAAGACAGAAAACCTAAATAAGGAAATGAAACACATCAAAGCGACACTACTTCTTGATAAACCACCCTCTGAAATTCATTGAAAAGTTTATAAGAACTGATAAAAGAAGGAGTGGTATGTTAGTGGTGATTGGATCATGCCTAAAAGGGAATTCAAATTTACTGTAGTGTTGCCGTAAAAAGAAGGCATATCGGAAATTTTGCGTAGAATTCCTAACATTGTAGGGATTATGGTGACAATTCATCGCATTAACTTGCTCAGAAAGAAACTTTGTAAGCTAAAGTATCCAGTACAGACAAATAAGAAAAATAACCTAATTTGTCAAATAATATATGATGATTATGACTTCAAGTATAAGGATCTAAGCAGCCGATCTGGGTCTGTCAGAACAACTAAACACAAATGTAGCGAAACATAGATGGGTAGACTCAATTAAGACAAGTAATTTAGAGAAAACTCAGCTGTTTCTCTGCATACACTGACCCATATCACACTATGGGGTAGAATGCCGTGACATTTCTGAAATCCAATATGGCTAGGTGGAGCGAAAGATTGATCACACAACCATCACTTAACCAAAATGACTCATTAAGCAAGGAGATCTGGAAAATGTTACTACCATTAAGATGAAAATGTGAAGAAGCATTTGACTGTATGAAGGAAGTTTGAAAGTCGTCTGATTACTTTGAAATGAATATGAGCAATAAATTCTGTTCGAAATATGATTCAGTAAATTATACTGCATCGTTGTGAGCTATATTAAATAAACAGTCTAATGTTAGAGGCTAGCTATCTTCATCGCTTTACACAGGAATTGGTAATACTTTATTAAAGTTACATGAAGCCTAAACTAGGCACATAAGGGTTAGTACTATGCATGGAGTTTATGCTTAGTTTCACATATGGACTTAGAAAGTTACATCAACAGTTTAAAAACTCGAAAACACAGACCTCTGTATTCCAGAGATTGAATATACCATACATATTCATGGTGTTCTGCACAATGAAGAGGAAATTGAATGTGAAACACCATCACTTATCTTACACACAAATCACTTCGGCAACTAACACGTGACTACGAAATATGCCCACTGAGTCACAGAGAAGAAATAATTCAACGAGGAACATTTTCTTTTTCGACGACATCATTTTCTAAAGCTGTACAGTCGTATTTATATGTATCACAAACAAATAACAGTCCATTATAAAACAGTACGGTGTAATTACATCATTAACCAAGTGCTACGAAAAAACCGAATCAAGAATGCAAAGTAGTTGCTTAATAATCTAAGACAGCAGAAATATCGAGGAAGGCAAGGAGTTTGACAAGGTGAAAATTGTTGGCAGATAAGAAACGCAAATATTGAGTATCCACTTGATAGATAGGTGTAAAGAAGTGAAGAGTGAGACAAGGGTCATAATGAAGGTGATAACAATCAACTAATTAATTATAATGAAATCAAAAAAATGAAAGTGTTAAGACCATGATAAGATGAGAGATTGAACATACTTCTTTTGCACGCAGAGATCAGGCTTGAATTGATGAATTGCCAGTGCCTCCGCTGTACACAACACGTGCTGATATAATCAAGCATCAGATGAGAAGCTTCATATCACAAATTACAAATAAATAAATGTTTTTTTAACTTTGAATAATTCCGTAGAACTTAGTGTCAATTCCAGTCAGTGACTTTAAGTTCAAATGAAATTTAGTTACTTTCCTTTTACCAGCTAATTGAAACAACTACAGTTTTTCGTTTCCTTTTTTAGACATAGGTAATTGTAAATTATTATCTCGTTTCCTTGTGGATTATAACCAAATCGATGAATTGCCGAAATCAATTGGTCAGTTATCAGAACTCACTGTTTTAGGAATAAAGTAAGTTCATTTAGTGTATTCAATATTCAATTATAATAGCCAAATTTTCTTGCGGTCATCACTTCAGTGTTTTGTTTAGTTATGCTAAAATTTTGTTTAAAAATTAAGTATACTATTATAATCAGTACAGTTTAAAATTCAATTTTTCTTTGATTGTAAAAAATAATTTTCTTTAAATTACGTGAGCAGAATATTTCTGATATCTAATTCATACCATAATTACTTGTAGACTTAAAAAATACCAGACGCATTGTACTCTCTATCGTAAATAAGCTCGACATTCATATTTAAAGGTTCTTCGGAAATGTGGCTAATTTTATAATTCCTATCCTAACAACATTCAACGAAGAGATTCTTTCAACAAATTTACTTTCAAGCTGTACAATCATATATATATGATATTTCAAAAATTATATCCCGTGAGGAAAACTGAACACTATATGATGATGATGATAATAATAATAATAATAATAGAGCGGCATTTTCGATTATGATAACAATTCAAGTGTGAATGATAAAGTAGATTACGTAATATATAGAATAGTTCATATAAAGTATATGCAGTGCTCCCAGGTTTCTTTTGTTTCTCCAACTGATGTCAGTCTACGATGAGTAACAACTTCAGGAAGTATATAACTCAAAAGGGGGTGGAAAAATTGATGAAAATGGTAAATCAATTAAGTATTATGTAATAGGATTAGAAAAGTTGGTCAAGATGAAATCAGTGCTTTCTAAAAAGATTAAGACAATTAAGTGAAATAACACCGGAAACTAATCAGAGTGAAGGCAATTATAATGACAATAATGGTTCTAAATGTGGCTAACCAGGTTGTACCAATGAAGTATACTGTATACGTATGTTGGACTAGAGAGAAAAGCATAAAGTATCCTTCAGAGGTTGATTCTTTCGTATTATTTTACGTTTTAAACAGAAGTAAACCAGATTCGTGAGACTCATAGACCATGGTATGCTCACTTTCCAGATAATTATATAGGTTCTTTTCCCCCTTTACTTTGTTATGGTTCCTATAGTTTTCAGAAGATAAGAAATTAACATGGTTGAAAATCAGTCACAATGGTGCTGATGTATTCACTGCTTACCGACTTCTAAAGCCTAAATTTTTTCATTGAAGTTTATCTTCAGATTGTTTACTCTCTCATACAACCTTCTCTACTCTCCTTTCACACTGCCTATGAAATTGTTCCATGCATAGAACTGTGAAGTATGGTCACTTGGACCTATGTGCTTGTGTACAAGGTTCTACGTTGTCCATCTGTCTTCGCTTACTAAAGATTGCAGCAAAAACTGGTAGTAATTAGCCAAACAGTCGCATCAAAATTAGCATTGGTTTCTTAATCCAAACATTTTACTGCCTAGATATTAGAAACTTATGCATCAATTTTGGTGCCGCCATAGTGAAAACCGAATATTGCAATCTATCTAATTGGATACTTCTAAACCTCACAAAGAGATTTAATCCTTGTATCTACATCAGTCTGATTTTCGCTAAGAAATTGACTGAAAGGTTGAATTAACTGTGCTCACAAGAAAATCAACCTCCATCACAAGTTCCTTGCATTAGCATATTTAAACAAGTGTAAGTGACTATCACCTCTATAAGTGAGGACCATTTTGAATACAATAATTTTGAGAGTCTGTTAGAAAAGCATTCCAATATGTATTGAAATAAAAAGGGACTTTTACTGCGACAGTAATCTTGAAAGTGTTTCAATGTATTTCAGTATTTTAGTTACAAGTATTTATGTCACTGAACTAAATGAATTATACCTTCCTAATTTTGCATACAACAGTTATGCATTTAAAATGATCTCAACACAGTTCATGTTGGGCATCTTTACTTCTATACATATTGAAAACTGTGACAAAATGGAACTTTTGCTTTGTAGAATTTGGGTAATGTTATCGATGATACTTTGTGATCAGTTAATTCATAACGTTACTGTATAAACCTTATAAGTTAGTTCTTCAGTGAAGAAAGTAATCACATACATTTCACTCTAATGCTTTTTAAAAGTATATTCATCATTTATCCGTTTCTAGTAATTTAAGTCATTGGGTCTTCTGTTTTACCGTATCACCCCACTAAACAGTATAATACTAGCATAATTGCACAGTTCACAAACAGGCTCACCGAGATGCCTTGAGCTAATAGAAATCTATGTTTGAGATTGTGAGAGAAACTTGTTAGGTAATGCCAAGCAGTGGTATATTGGCTGGAAGAATAACTGAGTGATCTAGGGGTTAGCACTTTTACCAATATGTCACATTGTAGAACTCAGAGTTTCTAATTTCATACAGTGCTGATCGAATAAAGACGAGTATCTTGCGCGCTAAATAGATGGTTAAAGAGTACTTATCAGCTAGACAGCTTTCGTCTGTTGCATATCCAGAGTTTTCACTGTTATAAAGAAATTCCCATTATCAAAATTAGAAGACATAAACGAACAATATTGTCTTCACTTAGCTCTCAACTGGCTTTACGCTAATGTGCATAGATTTTCTCGTATGTAAAACACTAAAATAATCGTGATGAATTATTTAGTCTGTGGTAATTAAGAGATGAAGCATGCAAATAGTAGATATCTAGACAATAATAGAACTAGCAATAATATTAGCCGTGACCTGTGGTGTCAACAGGTCTGAAGAGAAGCGGATGCCATCTGAAGATCTGGGATGAAAGTTGCGTTATGTTGCGAATCAACAGAAGTTAGAAACTGTGAAGGATTGAACTCCGACCCAGTGGCTGAATGTTTAACGTGCTCGTCGTGAAACCTGAAGGTCCTGAGTTCGATCCCTAGACGAGTTGTGGGTGCGTACTGCCGAGGAGTCCCATGCCAGGACGAAACCTGTAAACTTCTGTTTTTGTGTATAACATGGCCACTTTCGATCGAATGCGACAGAATTGAACTTCATGTTGACTCTTTTCTATCCATGATGGTAGGTGCTCAGCAACACTTTTGTTAAGCTGCCTTGCTGTACGCCCAATACTGCTTTCTCCACAACAGCAGCTGAATTGATAAGTGAACATTGAAGTGGCACAACTGGGCAGCTTATATTTTCTGAGCAACAGTTATGAGGTGACTAGAAAATTGTAAGCAAAGGTTAGCAGCATGGAAAGTTCTTCTAATGGATGTAAACAGCCTCTAGAATAGAACTTCACCAGGTGCATTACCTTTAAATTGGAGCTTCATGAATAATGATTTCTTTCGAACAGTCTCAGTCCAGATTTCTTGCCCATTCTGTTCACTCGCCTATTGATAAAAATATGGGGGTAACCTATTTCTAGCAGCATACTGTGAATGCATTTTAACTCTTTTTGTATCAAATCATTAGAGCGGATTCTTTTACATATGCTTGCAAGACAATAATTAAACTTCTTTTATATCGAAATGGCAGCGAAGACGGGACTCCAAGTGGATATAGAGAAGACAGAGGTGATGAAGATACCCGACCAACAACACCTAAACTAACAACAACAAGCTCCAATCACCATCAACGGGAGAAACTTAAAGGAGGTTGTCTCTTTCACCTATCTAGGAAGCACTGTTTCAACTACAGGTGGCACAGACGAGGATGTCAAAGTCAGGATCGGAAAAGCAAGACAGGCTTTCATTAGCCTGAAACCAGTGTGGAGATCTTCTGCACTCAGCATACAGTGTGAACCAGATCCGGATTTTCAACACCAACGCCAAGTCATTGCTTCTGTATGGTTGAGAGACTTGGGGCGTTACGAAAGGGATTCCCAACAAACTACAGACATTCATCAACAACTGCCTACACTGGCTCGCTACTGAAGATCAGATGGATTGCCTGAAAGAATCGGCAACAAGGAACTCTGGCTGACTGACAACGAACCAACCAAGAAGCTATCGATCAACAAATATGCACTGGAAGGAAGTTGAGATGGATTGGGCATGCACTGAGAAGGCCGACTGGGGATATCACGCTTCAGGCCACACCCTCGAGTGGAACCCTGATGGGAAACGACGAGTTGGGTGTCTGAGGCAAGGGTGACGTGGAGGAGATCGTGCGAGGAGGAAATGAGCTTGTGGGCTGTCGTGGAGCCAGGTTCGAAAGATTTCATAGAACAGAGTGGAATGTAGACGTGCTACTGAAGTCCTATGTTCCATTAGGAACCCAAGGGACAGTTAATAATAATAACAATTCACAACTGAAATGAGTTCAAACGGGTATATTAAGCAATTAACTGAACGTTCTTAAATATATGTACTGAATAATTAGACTAACCGAAGTAGTATATACGAAGAGATTTCATTTTAATATGGTCTTCGGATGGTTCATATAAATTCGTTCGATAATCACATTGATAAAACATAGTAGAAATCTGACATTTAGTTCTCATATCGTTTTGGAAACACATTCTAATAAACACATGCCCATCAAGATTTATATTTTTCTTAATTATCGGTTTTTAGCATCTATCTACGTTGTTTATTTTCAAACGTATCACGTCTAACTATTAAAATCAATCGACTAACTTTTTTTCAGGTATAATAATCTAACAGAACTTCCAATTGAGATATGTAGTTGTGAAAAGTTGACTGAGTTCAACATTGAAGGAAATCATGTAACACAAATGCCAGTAAGTTTTTTCACGTCTTAAATATATTACGTCTCCATTTTTGCTCTTTTTATTAATTTCACAAAAATATTTAACCAAGTAGTAATATAATATTATTTCAACTTCTAAATCACTTAAACCCTTTTTGTTATAGTTGATATATGTTATACATAAACTGGAACAATATTTTCCGGTTCTTTTCCTGAGATATTTGTAGATAATGTTCGGAAGTAAGTACTTTTATTGGACGTTATTAAAGATATTTAAATAATTGCCCGCAATGCTTTTGAATAAAGACGAATTCAAAGTGTCAACGACAAATTTCAACAGTCCTTAGAACACTGTGGTAAGAAATATATTCATAAAGTAACGTATCGTATTGTCAGTCAAATGTCTGACTGTACACTATTGTTCTAGTTAATCGGATAAGCATAATCAGTAAGATGTTGAATGATTATGGATAAAAACGAACCAGTGGTTGCCACCTTGATGATAGGTGGAGTTGCCAGATGAGTTATGAAAAAACTTTTTCTAAGAAGCAAAATTCATCTATGAGCTTTCGACTAGGTGCAAGATATGTACTTGTTTACCTTTATTACTGATATCACCCACTCATTTTTTCTCAACTAAGCAGTTAATGACAATTTAAACAAAGAAATACTTAGGTCAGTCTTATTTGGATTAACATCTTTACTTGTACAGATACTTTGACTTTCCTGCTATTATACTCAGCATGTAATTTAGGGAAATTCAGTTCCAGATTTTTGTAAGTTTTTCAAATTTACTTTAGATACTATTAACTAGGTTCACAGCAAATGGTAAAATTATTAGATAATCTTTTCAAAAACGTACCGTTCAGCAGTTAGATCTGTATTGGGTTTCTGTCAGGGCCACTTTTTGAGTTTTTGCGTATTAGACTATTAGCAGGTAACGTGCCAGTCTCAGTTATTGATATGAACAGCTACTATTGCAAGTAATGGATGATAACGGTGTCATGATCCCTCTTATAATATTGGTATTCAGAAAAAACTACTGTATAAACCGAAAGGAATACCTTAAACAATTGAAAATGTCACTTCATATGATTTTTTTCGAATACAATAAACAACAGAAACTTAGACGGATGGTGATTCTGCATTTTTTCGGAAAATAATCTAAACTAAGCAACTACTACTGTTATCTTAGTTGAGGTGAAGTTAGATAACGGAGTTTGAAGCGAATGGGTATTTCCGGTAGATTCTTGTCAAGCCTTACCTCTACATTTACAAATTACTCAACATAGTCACTTGGTACTAACATGGTTAAATTAAGTTGGGTATATGAATTAGAAGATAACGGTAATAGTGATGGTAACCAAACGAAATCTCGCAGTTTACATATTCTCATTAGTCAATCCATATAGGTGTGAGAGTGAGTTGTATGTGTGCAGAGATAAAGGGAAATAAAATTATTGTCGTATAGCGATTAGATGATAAATTGTTCAAGTTCTTAATCAATTACGAGACCAAGGACGAAAAATAAAGTGATAATTCAAAGAGAACAAACAGATAATATTTACATTTATCCAGGTGATAGTGAAGGAAATTATTGTAATCGTATCTGGGTTGAAGCTTAAGGACATGGGAGGAAAAGGGTATGAAAACTCATCCTCTGATTGCATAAATTAGGTTTGAAAATTTTCATTCCTATGGCTTCTGCTATGCCTAGCAATCGGAGGCGCACAAACTTATAGTATTGTGATGAAACTTTGTAAATAATAGTAAATGCTGAGGTTTTGTCAATCTAGATAGGCGAGTACTGAGCTTTAAATGGATTTCACTGTTCCTTTGGCTAATAACACTGGACAGTGTTCAACACAGCGATGATAGGCTTACCAAGTCATTCTACCTAAGTAACTATCTCCAAAGGAGCAGTTAAATTTATAAATGGACTTAGATTTAGTTAGGTTCGGAAGCCTATCCTTCAACTACATTAGCATCATACAGTGAGTGGTAAATTTCAAACTTAGTGTGGTGGGAAAGAGGGTCTTTCGTATCAGATTCATGAGTTTCAGTGTCATTGTTTCTGCAGATGCATCTTCTTTGAGCGCTAACTTTAGAGACAATCGTTTCTTCTGTACCATTTGAAGGTGCTTTTCTCCAGCTGTTTTCATTGTTACAGTCCTTACGTACTTTTCATTCTCGTATGAGCACTCTATTATTCTTAATTCATCGTTCAAAGTGTCAGCTGTGCAAATCTTACTGGATCGAAATACACAGTACACAGATTAAGTTCTTTTGGTACCTAAGAGGGACAAATGACCGGATATATATACACTGACCTACCCATGGTTTCCTAGGCTAGTTTCTTCTGAGGTGAAGTTATATATAGTTGGAGAAAATAGGAAGATCTAGATATACCTTTTGATAACTAGTGCTTCGAATTTAATGTAGTACTTCATTCTCATCAACTAATGAGAATGGCCAAGTTGTTACTTCTACAGTTCGTCTAATTCATGCCTTTTCAGTGATTAATCGTAACTCTGTATCTCAGTCAATGCAAGTTTATCTGAAGCTTTTGACTTGAAACCACAAGCATTTGATTCTGGCTGTTACACAGGTATTATCCAGGAAGTTTGCAGTTACTTATCTAGTTTATTAGTTCACTAGTTTACTAGCCGGTCCTAAGCCCGGGTAAAGAGGTAAGTTTGGGCATAGGACTAACAACTCTACACCGTAAAACCAATCCAATCGCTGAAGAAACTTCAAAGCACAAAGAAATTGTAAAAAATAAAAACGGACTTATTCCTCGCTGGAATCGGGGAACCCCTAGAGACAAATAATAAGTAATATCTAGATAAACCGAAATAAGTGATTTCATGGGCTGGTGTCGTATAAGATTTACCTTACTGTTAGCATTCTTCCATCCGGAATCTTTTATCAATAAGGAAGGCGGTTGGTATTGAGCACTGGGTGCGCTGGTCGACAAAGGAAGATCGGAAACGTATCTTCAACTATGTTGCAGAACGCTGAGTAAACTCACGAATTCCTGATTGCTTTGATAAGTCCTTCAAAATTTGACAGAAAGTATGACCAAGTAAGTCGAAAAAGCATAATTGAATCATTAGCAAAGTTTAAACCATCATTATACGTTCAAAAAGTGTATGTCCAACCTTGTTCTTTGCTTTGACCATCGTAGACGATCAGTCACCCTAGATAATTTCCTTATAGTATAACCTTCTTATTTTGTAATCATTTTGTTTGTTTCCGCACTTGAAATGCCTACAGACATTATATAACTTTTGGCCGCAAGTTACTACGTAATATTTTATCATTTCTACCATTTATTTACGATTGAACAGCTAAGAGAATGATCCCATGGGAAAGATGATTATTTCGTCGCTGTAGTCGTCTTGTATCTTTTGCCATAATTAGTCGGGTTTGTTCCAATTAGTAGCTCTCAATTCAGTCAATTTCTCTTTGTTTACTTGTTTGCATCGTGTCTTGATACCCATATTCCAGGTTGTTACCTACAAAAGGGATACAACGAAGTAAACTATATTCAAATACTTACTGTTTTCATCGATTAACTTTCCTCAAAGGTGATACTTCGAAGTCATATAGTGCAACACAGAACATTATTGCGAAGTTCGTATAACCTCAAAAATAATTCCAATACACTGTCAGTTTCATAGTTATTATGTTTTGCACAAATTAAAATAAGCTTTAGCCAGATTTTTTAGGTGCCATCAGTTAGTTAGATATCAGAGTCCGTGTAACTCTCACTAATAGTGAACTGTTTAGCACATTCAACCACTTAAGTCGATGGTTTCAACCAGATATTCGATATATTTCTGTTGTGATGAAGATTTTTACGTCTGGAAGTTTTGAAACACTTTTGTAGCATTCCTTAAAATTTTGGCTTAGTATTCTTCACTAGGTGATAGTTTTCAGTAACCTTATATAACCACCTAAAGTTTGTTGGCGGGCTCTTAGTAAGTTTTAAGTGTCAAAGGAAAACAGTATGACCATAAAATACTGTAATAAGTTCAGAAAATTCTGAGGATAGCAGATACTAATGATGAGGGATTCTCGTCACTGTAACTGTATGAGAGAGTTCCCTATGAATTTCACTATTGTTGTCTTCTGTTGAATTGTAAGTGGATTATTCTTTTACTCTGAATTGGGACATTTTGTATATGATAGGTAACTATGAGGTGTATTCACTGACAAAGTGAGTGAATAGCTGAAATAGGGGATTACAGCGAACTGAACTAAAAGCCTAACATGCACTAATCTCTATGGACATGGTCGAGAATATTAACACGATTCGCTTTCGCTACAAGATGCTGATTAGCAACAGTACATTTTGTCAGCAATACTGAACTATGCACGCGAACGGAAAATGTCAGCCATTTCGTCTCTGTTCCGATTTAGCGGATCACTTGGGACCGCCTGACCCATAGCCAACTGCTGTCCCCATGGAATCCTTTTCCAGCTCGGTCTTCAAGGTTCATACTTGTATATTTGCTAATATCACCAAAATCTATGCCTGTGGTTCCTTAACCAGGGTTCATGCCTGAGGCTTCATGCTACCCAAAGCGACCCTCATACTTGCCGCCGCTACTCCATGCCTGGACCAAGTGCAGCTTGCCCTCACCCCGCATAGGCCCAGCTTACCCTCATTCTGCATAGCCCCAGCTTGCAGCAGCGGTACGTTATAGATGCATTACCCGAGCGCCATCTATTTTATGGGCTGGTTGGTGCGTTAGGTGAGTTGTTAATCACTCTCTAGCGGTTACCGACTTTCATGGTCACTATCCTGCTACCTGAACCAACCAACATCTTTTGTGGTATCTCATGAACACCGCGTTATGCACTTTAACCGCGCGTTTGGTTCGTCCCACAGCGCCAGAAATGGCCTACTTGGCACCTATAGTCAATGCACAACTCCATTTGGGCGAGCTTAACTTCTCAACCATTTAAAGTTTGAGAATACGTTGAGGATGTTTTACCCCCCAGTGACTCTAATCATTCTCTTTACCACATAAAACTGTTTATTTCTCAGAATGGTAGCTATCCTGAGGGAAAATTCGTAGGTAACTAGCTGCTAAATGATTTAATTAGTTTTTCTCCTTTAAATACACTTTATACGATAGATTTGCACGTCAGAACCACTACAATCCTCCACCAGGTAATCCAGTATTTACACCGGTGACTAGTCATACAATTCGCATAAAACTGGTGGAATTTTAATTGAATCACTTTTTTCAACTTGATTTTTTGAAATCTTGATATCTACTAGTTGTTTTGAACAGTTTTTAAGGCTTACTTTTACACAAACAAACTTTTCTGCTAATTACCAATCGTTTTAACACCATAAATTTATTATTATTTTGTTTTCCCTTTGATAACACTGAAATTTGTCCTTCTTTCTTAAGTTCCTTTCTGTATATGACAACTTTGTCTTTCAGAATATGTTATCTGAATAATTTTTGAATCCCTTCTACTGAACAGGATGATTTGAGTATCGTTTTCCTTCACTGATCTTGATGACTAGCAGAAAAATTCGGGACTCGAGTTTCGTCCTATTTGGGACTGACCAGCTGGATGCATCTGCATCCCATTGAGTGATGTTGTTCCCACGAAGGCTGTAACCCAGTGCCCTTCGTTTCGAATGCCAGAGCGTTATCCACTAAGCAACTGGGGCACGATAGCCATTTCTTGTGCAATATTCTTTTCCTATTTATACGAGAGAGCAGTCTCATGAAGAAATTCGATATTTTATGAACAGTGTAACTTACTTTCTTAGAAATGATGTTTTTTGAATTTTTACAGTTTATTTACTTAACATCTCTTACTTCTGTATAACTGCACACCTGAAAGTTTTTGGGTTTCTCATAGAGTCTTGTTCAATTTTTGCACTACAAGTTAGTTACTGAATGATTAGATAATTCTTAGGGATTAGTCGTGTCAAGCATGAAACACAGATACATTATCCCATGTTGAAAGCCTCCACTTCACTCATATCTTGCCAGCTAGATTCAGTTCAAGCTTACGATAAAGTTACTGGAGTTAAAATGGATTAAAATCTAGTTTTCAAATAAAAATCAAGAGATTTCTGAAGCTAACGAGGTTGATTTCATATTTCACACAACGTTCCCGTATTATTCACTGATTGACTTATGGAGCAGAATTTACTGCTGATATTCATGTCGAAGTGATTTGCAGATTATGACTTCTTATTATAAATTCAGTATATTGCATCTTGAAGGATTCCACTAATGAGCACTGAAAAGTAATTGAGTTTGAAGATTTAAAGAAGTTTATTGGCTTTTAGGTGGTATTTGTCATGGACTGACATGAACAGAGTAGCCAATAGAAACCTATGAGTACTGAACAGCTATTTCATCCAAGTATCGGACTTCTGATCGTTGTTCACCAACGACTAGATCAGGAACAGAACTTGAGATTAGTTTTCCAATGATTTTCCAACTGATATCACTTCATAATTAAATCAATAATTCCCTCCAAACTTTCAAACTGAAAAATTTAAATGATTGTTAGCAGTAGACTGATTTAGAACGTTTATTTACCATCATAGAGTTATAAAAATGGGTCACAACTAAGGATTCTTTGAAAATTATAACGAAAAGTTTAGAAAGCAGTCTATGAAATGAGTGTAAGACTCTGTAGACGATAAGAAATGAAGCATTACACTTTTTAAAGAAATTTCTTTTAAATATATAATGAATGGATATAACATTGTATAAATGAGAATGGATTGTACTTAAACGTTGATAATTTATAGTATACAAATAGCAAATTTATTTTTTTGGAAAATAGCTCATTTCCATTCTTCATTTTGTCTTTAAAAACTAATTTCCTCTTACATTACAATAAAGTTTTTGCTAATTTCTACTTATTTTTGTTTTTACATTAACTAATTTCTACCTTCATCTGACCTTTCATTTACTTGACCTTTAAAATAGAATTATCCATTTTTTTTTAACAACTTAGTCAAGGTATATACTTATTAACTGACAAAATTAGCATGTTTACGTGAGGTTTTGAAATACTCGATATCATTCAGATAATTTTAATATAATTCAATGAACATTTTGTTTAGTTGAATACGTTTGTCAGTTATACATAGATTTAACCTCTACTTACTTTAGTAGTATACAGGCATGAAATTAAATTTTATTTACACCATGAAAATGTCTTCGTAATTTATATTGTTGATGTATTTTGAAAAGATTGAGAATTGAATTGAAGCTTTGTTCCAATGTCTTATATAATTTAAGCCTTGTTAACTGAAAAATACTGATGAACTGAAGAAATTTTCATTATGTAATTCAGGCTCATGAGTATTTCTTCACTCGAGTTCACCATTTTTAGTTATTTGAGCTTTCAGAAATTAAATTATTTAAAATTAACCGAAAGTGTCTATACTATGAATTACTGAGAAGCCTAATAGTTTAATGTCAGTACATTTTATACCTTATCACTGCCAATTCTTAAGAGAAATAAAATCTAAACTATAAAATAAAACTGGCAATATTTAGCAATTTGTTACTTGCGAATCAATGAAAAGTTTTCAGAATACAATTAGTTTTCACTATCACGAAATTAAGTGGATTAAGTATTTAGATGTACATTTTGGGTTACCTATATATTGTGGTTTCGTCTAGCTTATGGTGTATATTGCTAGAGTTGAAACTGCAGTCATAGATACAATCACTTTCTTTCACGAGTTATTGTTTAACAGCTCTTTTTTCGTTTTTTGAACAGGAGAACTTAATTTGTAAACTGAAAGATTCTCCATCTATTGTGCTATCTCGCAACGATTTTACATCTTTTCCGACTGGTGATCCCATACAGTATAAAAACGTTAAGGTAAGTGTGGCAAGTTTATCCTAACAAATATTTTGCAGAACTTATCTGTGTCACAGCTTAGGAAATATTCAGGGTATTTTTTACTGATGATTTTAAAGAATTAGGTTAGGTTTTTCGAATACTTAATCGCTAACTTGTTTCCATGCTACTGACATGGTACATCCATGGGAAGTAAACTTTTTCTATCAACGGGAACAGTACTTCTGTTAACGGATATAAATTCTTTTTGTGCAAGTAGTCTGCTGCTAGGATTTGGAGATTTGTGGGTGTCTTGTTGATTTTGCTATGGACTGCAATCAGTTAAACACTGAAAACCTGGGAGCACTTGACAGCTGCCTCTCCAGAGAAGGCAACATCTTTGGGTCATGTGACTAGCATGTGACCAATGAATTCCTGGATTAGCATCCAGTAGTCTCTATTCTCCTACCTCCGTCAATTTATGGTCTATCTTGTTTTTTGTGCAGTGCTGTAGTTGAGCATCTCTCTTCACATCAGAATTGATTGGCCCCATCAGTCATGATTTGCATTAGGACTTTGAGAATCTCATCTCGATACAATCCGCTTAAGATAAGAGATGGTGGAGTGATGGATGTGCACTGCTGAGGAGTCACGAAAAAGGGAGAAACAGTTGTTGTTGAATGCTTCGAGGTTTCCAATGGTTTTCTGAAATAACATCAATCCGTAACGAATATTAACGCTTTTTGCTGACGCTGAACTTTTCAAACTACATATGGCAAAGTTCGATTTCATTTTTTTATTGATTTCGGGATTCCACTCACTTTCTCTGCTGCTATCGATATCCCAACTGAAATTAATAACTTGTGAATTTTGATTAGTTTTATTTTTATTGGGATAAAGTAAAAATTCGTATCAGTTATATCGAGAGTGATGATTCTGATAAAACGTGATCCTACCTAATATGTTTAAAGCTGTTTATCTTTTCAAATGCTAATAAACGCAAGTATTCAGCCTATTAAGTTTGAGTTGGTTTAAGCTTCTTTTCAACTCCTGTTTCAAAAAAGAATAAAGCAGTACCTGAGTCATATAGTACCGAGCAAATACGTCTCCATCAAAGATACTTAACTACCATTATTGACAAGTTGTCTCATTCCTTTTAGTGCGGATAGCAGGAGTAACAAATTTGCGTAGTTACTTTCAGTCCTGAACTTCAAGGATCATGGCAATCAAATACCACCATTTATTGTTATCGAATCTTTGTGTAGACTAATTTACAGATAAACAGATTTCAAAACTAAGAATCACCAAGAGAATTCTACTAGCTATCCTCTGACAAAACATTTAAAAAAATATATCCGGTATTCAAGGCTTAACGAAAGTGGATTCAGTCACCAGCAAAATAAAAGCAAACCAAGTATTGGTTGTATTGTATTCTCTGAGCTGGATTATTTAATCGTCAAGCTTTCATCGTCCTTCTTCTAGACGACATCATCACCACTAACTTCAGTATGAAGTGAGCTGTCAATATTTCTCTGTGAGTGATTTAGTGGCTTGCTCTGACCTGAGCTATAAATATTCTCTATTATTTCAAATTAAGTATGCATAACTTGATGAGAAAAATGCTTTGCACTTAATGATTCCAATTACTAGTTCTTGATTAGTACTATCAAATTATTGTTTTTCATTTAACCTTGATGAAATTTTATTCGAATTTTTCGAAAAAACATTTTTTGTTGTTAATCATACTTTTGAAACTTTTTTTCCTTGTTCTTTATGAAGCATTTCAGATTAGATTATAATCGCCTGGAATCATTTGAAGCAGATTTATTTTCAGAAAATACTCAGCTAACCACATTGAAGTTATGTAACAATAATATTATGACCTTAGACTTCAAAGGTAGTTGATTTTGTGCATGGTTTATTATTCTACATGTAAAAAAATGCTTATGTACTTTATTTCTAAGATAGAAATGTAGATACTTGAAAGTAGAAACTAGTTTTATACCTTTTTACTTTGTTTATTAGCTTTCTTATTAGCCAAGTATGGATATCATATCTCATGCAACATGGCCTAAATATATGCTAATGGATCTTAGTGGATATTTTTACTCCTATGGAGCATACAAACCAAACGTAACTTCATTGGACACTAGAGTTTTGTGTTTCACATTCTTTTAAATAAGTTGATTGCTGCACTTTCACAAACTGACAGGAACAAATGAATCAGGCAAACTATTAACTTCATTTATTTTCTCAAAAGATGTGCCTTTCTTAAAAATAAATAATTTTGGAAAATAAAAGGATTACACATTAGTAATTTTTTAAAGTCGGTGGAGATATTATCATAAATAAACTACAATTATTATGTGTAAACTTTTATTACGAAACTTGTTTGTAATGAATTCATTCAATCCACACTTTCTTCGTTGTTAATTCTTACTGGTAAGAGTTATTATCTACGGTGCTGTGTAATTTCAGCAGAAACCAGTGTTAACGGTTGACTCTATCAGTTAGGATACCTCAAAAACAACTTTTCAGCATTTCAAGTCATCAATAACACATTGTAATAGATAACTATGTATATATAGTATGCATATCTGATGGTCATAAAATCAAAGGCTTATTTGTATATAAAGCTGAATTTCAAAAAAAACTTAACTTGCAGCCAGTCATCCATTGATATCTCATTGTACCGAAACCATAAAAGTACGATCAGATACACTTTGACCGAACATTTTTATTAAATATTCGGTAGTTTATTGAATGTAACAAACTGAGGCACATTTGTAAGCTGATGGGAATAATTTTTTGCCTATGCTCAACTTTGTATTATACATTTTTATCTGTAGTAGTTTGTTATGGTATTTGAATTAGAGGTAAATCTTAGAACCAGTGTGGTGCACAAGTCAGATTATGGCATGACGCCAATTTAATGTCTTAACTTATTCGTGTAAAAATTTGTTAACAACATGAATGAAGCTAATGGTATGGTTGAATCCGAGGATTGGAGAAATCATATTGTATCGATGAAAATCACATACAACTGCATACATTTTTTCATTGTTCATCTAGTAAAATGATATAAATTATATTTTTATGTCATATGTTTTACTTACTTCTTGAACTTTATCTTACTCCATTCAATTCTGGTTCCTTATCAATCCTTTTGTCAGTGTTGCCATAGTATTTCAACTTTTAACTTTGTTGAATGACATCATTGTTTATGGTGACATTCAATGAAATGCTATTGAATTTTGTCTCTAATTACTTTATCTTGTTCTCTTTTTCTTTCAAAGATGCAAAGATTATCACGCTAACTTAGTAAATAACTAAACATTGATATTATTATGAGCAGTAATTTATGGTGAGAACGTCATTAAGTGAATAGTGCTGTGTCACTCTGTGTTAAGTATCAAATAAAGAAGTCTAATACCACAGTACCCAAGTCTTACATTAAATAAAAGGGGATGTATTACAAGTGCAGCATATTTTACTTGGTAAAATGATAAAGAACTTATCTGTTCTTTTGTTTTTGTTCCCATTACAAATTCAAAATTTAGGTGGACTGAATTAATTCATGGTTGAGCTTTTAGTAAATTCAAGTATATTACTTTGAGAGTTCCCATGAAACTTCTGGTGACTGTTCAGTGTATATTCTGTAATCCGCTTACTTGAAGTTACCCAGTTAAAAAACATTAAATAGTTGTCACTATAAAACAATTATTAAAATTTTGGAAATCAGTTATAAAAAAGCGATTTTGAAAAACGTTTCACCGTGTTTAAGCTATAAGTTTTTTATGTATGCGCATTGACGAAGGTACCTATCATATTTACTAAACAGAATACGACAGAATAGTATGTATTTCTGAGATGAACAGGGATTTTAGTTTTGAGACGGTGTTCATAACGAACTGACATCAGTTAGAAAAACATTGAAAACCTGGGAGCACAGAACATCTGTTTCGTCCTAGTATGGAACTCCTCAGTGCTCCCAGCCTTTCAATCGTTCCCCATTCTATGTCAGTCCGTGATGAATACTATCTCAGAATAGTATGTATTCGTTTTAGTTCTAAGCTAAGGTATGTATTACGCTTTCGCGAAAACCACATACGTAGATGTGTAGTATATATAATTCAGATCACAGTTCTCAGAATTCATTTGTAATTTGTCCTCCTTGACTCACTGTAATGAAGCAGAGTTTCATAACTACATTTTCTTCAAGAAGTAGTAGGTTCCTATAATAGGATCTTGTTCAGTGTAATGACGAAACTATGATTGAGAATTCTATTTTTTGTAGTATACATTATAATAACACGATGCTGTGATAAGTAACAAGCTTCGTAAAACTCTTTTTCTCTCTGATTTATATATTCACCTAAAATACATGCTACGTAAATGAGTTAATAAAGTTTTTACTGACTGTAATTACTTTGATTCTTTCCCTTTTTCTTTGAAGGAATCGAAAGATTGAAGCATCTTGTTGAGTTGGATTTATCCTATAATCAAATCAGCCATCTACCTGACTCAGTTGGTGAGCTAATATCATTGGAAATACTAGATTTAACTAGTAATCGCTTAGAGGTAATTTATTTTGATACCAGAGATAGTGTAGCCCGGTTACTTGCATATATACAGGTTTCATGTGAACATTGCCCTGCATGTGACAGCCATGTTTCATGCTTAATAATTCCAGTTTTCCTGGTACAGAATGTAGACTAGACTTTTCTTCTATAGCTTAATGTTATTATTGGTCACGTGATCTCCAGGTTTTCAACATGATTTACATAACTGAAATTACACAAGTATTCAGAGTTAAGATTTCACATAGCCCTTACCTTATTGACTGTATATTATTGTATAGCACAATAATTCACTGAAAAACAGTAGTATTTCCAATATCTTAAAGTCCGTGAGCACTTTTTTGGATATCGTTGGTAGTTCCATACTTCCCGGAGTATTTTATTCCAATAATTTAATTTTCATAGTTAAAAAAATAGACCTTTAAAGTCTATTATTATTGTTTCAAAACAGTATGTTTTGATTTTCTCTGGAATAGCAGCGAATCTGAACACATTCGTTTCCCTCGGTCCACTTAGTAAAATTCAAATTTATCATACGGTGAGCGAGAGTGTGAATTAGCTTAATTTCTTCAATACTGTAACATAATCATTCTTTCTCAGTAAAACAAACAAATTATTACTGATGTGACCTCATTTGCGGAGTGTAACATGCTTTTAAAGTGTATGTATTACTTGTGAAATAATTTATTGCTATTATTATTCAGTGTGAATGACAGTGAGCTGCTGTACTTGTAGTCAGAAGAGTTTCCATTTTATTGACATTTATACATTCAGCGATTCATCTTTCGAGGTCTACACATTTTTGACCTATGAAACTACTGTGGTTATATGCCGAAAATACCTTCACCTGTCAACAACACATCTTTAAAGTAATAATATTGTTAAGTTTCGATAACGGTGGTATTTACATGAAAATCTCAGCTTCTGGTAAAACATATGATAAACGTAAATCCTTTATGTCGAACCACAAAATACTTCTAATGACGAATCATGTATAGCCACTCTATACTTATCAAAGTCTATCACTATTTAGGGAGTATTGGAAAAGAAACAATTTTCATTACTGTAGTAGTAAAGCGTGTTAATTGTCGAGGGTCCCGATTCCACGTCAGTTTCACTATACTGATCATCGTTACATCTAGGAAACGCTGCCGACTACCATCTTGTAGGTCGGGTAGATTTTTTCACTCTGCAGATACTAACGTTTACAATGTTCTAGTATTGTACAAAACCTAGACACGCAGCCTATACCAAAAATCGTTCAAACTCAACTTTCGATTAGCCTAGGTGTTTTTGAATAAAGATTTGTCAAGTTAATGAACGGGTACGGTAGATTTGAATATTTTGTGAATAAACAATCTGGCTTCTTTAAGTGATCAAACTGTTAGTCACTCACCCTTCGTTTCAAGCTGCCTTTTTCCAGCTCTGTAGTAATCAGGAGTCCAGTCTTTTCATATTATTTACAGCAGAATAATTATAAATATATAACTTCATGTAACCTTTCTAGACTGACCAGAAGAGCAGCTTTGGAAATGGGTGGCTAACCAGCAATGAAAAGGTATTTTTCCACGGAAATATAAAAATCGTGACATTTAATTCCAGGATTTTGTGCTGTATATTGCATGTTTGATCAGAATGAAACGTTTTTAAAAACAGAATATAAAACTGTTCAGCAAGATTCTTAGTGTATTGTGTTGAAAATATGTTAGTGGTTGCACAGGAAGAATGTAAAAATTGAGCAAAGTGAGGTTATGAATCATTTGTCAAGTAGGATTAAAGCATTACTTCATGATGCACAATAATTCTTTCGGCGAAATATTCATTTACGTAAACTCCTGCTTTACATCAATGAATGGACACTTACTTTAACTTTTTTCTGTATCATTCAAATATCTGATATGACATGTGATATGTACAGGTCTCTCATGATAGACAAATCAACATGAACATGATGATAACCTGGCTAAATTATTTTTGAATGGGTTTTCATCTTCACCTAAAATTGTCTGACCGCTAAAGTAAAGTTCATTAGGTAGTATAGTCCAAATCACTCTTCCCTTTTGCTTTATTAGAAGTGATGTAAAAGAACTTGGCCAAACTTTTGGTTTTGTAAATAACCAACAGATGTGAATTATTGAATAACATAGCAGCTTTGTTAATAAGTTAATTGTTGAACCTTATGCTCGTAGCTCATTTTATACTGATCTATACCAGTTATTCAAAGTAACCAGTTAGTTGTTTCCTTCAGAGCTTCCTTTAACTTCAATTCTCCTGAGTTAGGTGAGAATTAGAGCTTTGTCATTGAGCGCTTTATGCTTTTTGTTGTATTTTGCCTACGGCAAAAGATTTTACCAGTCAATTTTTCGAAAATTTAACTCCTGCTCTTGTCTCGTTAAAACGTTCATAATTCCCACTGTGACATCAAAAACAAGATATCCGGCGAAGAGGATTCTTTTCAACCAATTTATTCTCAAGCTGTACATTCGTATATATATGATATTTAAATACTGTAATCCATGAGGACGATTTACCTTAAATAATAGGGGGTTGGAATAATAAAAATGGTGGTTATAATAATACTGTTGCTAGTTGATGATATAAAGGTCGAATGGTTACAGAAAAGGGTTACATAAGATTTTAAATCGTTTATAAGGTGTATATAGATCAAACATGGGGTGAAAACGCCATAGAGTTAATAAACAATCAAAGGATTAGGTAATATATGTGAGACAAGTTAATCGGAGTAAATTGAAAACATTCTGATGACGATATAAGAGTACAAAGATTAAACTGACAAAAACGGGGGGAGGGGTGAAAAACGAAAACTTAAATCTTCACGGATTACAATCTTCAAATATTATATATATATATATATATATATATATATATATATGAGTGTACGGCTTGAGAATAAATTTGTTGAAAAGAGTCCTCTTCGCTGAATATCTTGTTTTCTTGTATTCTTAACCTCAATTACAAGGTAACTATAGAAGGTTTATGAAGATAGGAAAACTGCATTCCAGTTATTAGTTACAAGAGTCTGTTGTTGTGTTGGTACTGGATGTAACATTTCTACTCACTGGTGATCCTTTGGTTGAGACGGTCAACTACATAGATGAACAGTTGAAAGAAAAGTCTATCAACGTTGGAATTCCGACAGACGCCCTCAAAAGATTAATTCTCAAATGAATGATGAATGTTAATTGTAAATTTAACGATGAACATTAAAGAGAAGTTGATGCAGTCACAATGGGCTTGCTTCTATGTCCTATATTTGCGGATGTTTTTTTATGGAAACTAGCCGATGGTTCCCGTGAACGATCTATCACAGAATTTTCTTTTTACTGTCGATATATAGATGATATATCATATTGTGCGAAAACAATATAGATAGGTCAAACACATCCAAAAGATTCAACACATTATACCCATCGATAAAATTTACAGAAGGCAAAATAACTCTTCTTGATGTTTTCTCTCAAGATCAACAGATGGATCGACAAAGAAACGTTTTTTTAGCGAACATACGTAGACGGGACAATACAGATGTGTCCTCATCCTAGTCCTCCTTCAATATAAAAGAAAGTTAACAAAAACTCTTAGTTATAGGATAAAGGCTGTAATGGTTTTGAAACTGGCTATTTTGTGCAACTCATTGATTGAAAACAGATATCACAAAGGAACATATGATTAAAAAAATGGCAGGTGAGGACTAGCATAGCAGGACACTGCTATGCATTCAGGTACCACTTAGAAGTGACCTACTTAGTGAGGTGTAACTCATAAACTACGCAAATCAATTCAGAAAACGTTCAATGCTGGTAAATTACAAATTAAGTTCTACACCAACCCAGTGGTAACAGACTGGCCACTTCTTCCCGTGTTTATCAGTTCTACTTGTGCTCTGGGAATTCAATTTTTATGCTTGCTAACTCCTCCCACCGTGGTTTAGCAAAGGCGTGGTGAACACTATTACTAGCTCCATACTACCACACCTGGTCGAAATGAACCTTAGGATGAGTATACGAAATTCTTTTTCCCTTTTGTACCGGGTTCGCATCAACTTGCTAAAAGGTGCCCGGTTTCGAATCCTTCAGACTGTAGGAGCAGCAGAAACTACGATCAGATGACTAGAGTTATCTGTCACCGTTCAAATGAGACTTTTCTGAATTGTCCTGCATAACTGTATAATATCAATACCAAACTGAGTAGCGAGATCTTGGTATTGTTGAAGCATAATTCCTTGGTATGTACATATAACTACCTCGCCTAGTTTCTAAGCCGGTCCTAAGTCTAGATAAAGTGAGAAAGTTGGGCATGGGCTAGTGACCCTATCCCGGAAAAACCAATCCAATCACTAGAGAAACTTCAAACAAAACATAAAAGATAAACTTGTTCCTCACTAGAATCGAGGAGATGAAGTGACACCAGTTGGTGAAAGCCTTCGGGAAGCCAGTTGTCCTATATGTATTCTACCTCTTGATGAAAGCATAAGTAAGCATAGCGACATGGAATCTCCACGCGATGTTTAAAGCCGGTTTGCAAGGCTGCCCAGATTGCAGGGGCGATGAGAAGATATAGCATAGAAGTGCTAAGAATGTGAGAAAGCAGATAGAATGAAAGTGGACCCTCCAAACTGTTAACTGGAGAGTCAATAACCTGCTCGAATATTGTCACTCGGACGAAAGCAATGAGCACACTGATTTTTGGAGTGGCTATCATGATGTCTCCAAGACAATCGAAGGCTATCATGTAGTGGGAGCCAATCTCTTCAAGGATGGGAATCATGACAGCAGGATTTGAATCGAAAGGAAGGTAAGCTATAATCATGCAGTACTGCGCTACGCACCTACAAATAATGCGGATAAAGAGAAGAAGGAGGAAATCTATATACGACTACAACCAGTTGTGGACAAGACCACACTCCAGTTGGTGAAATCAAAATTCTAATGGGTGAGGTGATCCAAATGCCGAACTCGGAGCGGACAACACAGGAAGGAAACTCAACATGGTTCGGGAAGCACTCGGTGAAATGAATGAGAATGGAGAACTGTTTACAGACTTCTGCACATTCAACCATTTGCTGATTAGAGGCAGTGTGTACAAACTCAAGGATATTCACAACGCGACATGGATTTGATTTCACCAGATGGACTTACCAAAAACTAGATCGACTTCATTTGAATCTGAAGAAATTGGAGACGCAGCCAGCCCACTGGACACAAAATCAGGAAGAGGATCGGATGTAGGTGATTTACACCACTCACTATCTAGTGCAAGGAACCTTCAACTTCAAGTTGAAAGCCTTCACAGAAGTTGGTGATAGACCACAGTTCAAGTTCCATACCCAGAACAGAGACTGAACTGAATTATGAAACTGCAAAAGACATCTTTACGTCATTCAGCCATCAGGACAAAATGGGAGACACGAGGAAACCTGCATGGAAGAACACTTGGACTCTTTGAAAGAGATGTATGAGGAAACCTGCATAACCGTTTTAGGAAGGAAGAGGAAACGAGACAAGGAATGGATCTCAACGGATACATGGAAGCTGATAAAGGAGAGTGAGGAAGATGGCGAACGGAAGGTGAATCAGTGGAGTGCAGAGATGAACAACGGAAAGGGGAACTGAGTACAACGTATAAAACACTGGACAAAGAAGTGAAGGAGAGTGAGAGGAGAGACAAAGGATACTTCTACGACATACTCGCCAGTTAAGCAGAACAGGCTGCTGGTAGGAGAGACAGAGACCTGACAACACTGTATGAAATAACCACATTATAATATGCGGGAAGAGAGGAACACAGATGAAACCCATGAAAGATAGTGAACGAAACCTAGTTACCACGAAAGAGGATAAACAAAGTAAACGATGAGCCAACCACCTCAGAAAACTCTTGAATCGACCACCACCACGTGCAACTTATTCAGAAATACTACCACCAGCAACACCCAAACTACCCGTGAAAACAGGCTCACCGACAGAAGCAGAAGTTGTCGAAGCTATAAAGTTGCTGAGATTTGGGAAAGCAGTGGGACCAGATGGAATTCAGCCAGAAGCACTTAAAACATACAGAGACAAAAGCGGACATGGTCACAATACTACTGCAGAAGGTTTGGAAGGAGGGAGGGAGGGAGGGAGGGAAGGAAGGAAAGGTACCTGCCTGTTGGTTGAAAGAAGGGCTACCTTGTCAAACTTCGAAAGAAGGGAGACCTGAGCCACTGCAAGAGTTGGTGCAGACTCATGCTGCTGTCAACTCGAAGCGAACTATTATGCCACATCATACTGGAGAGACTAAAGGATGCGCTAGATTCAATATTGCGACTAGAACAGGCTGGTTGGCTGGCTTCAGGAAGAACAAATCATGTACAGATCAAATTGAAACACTATGCATCATCATAGAACAGAGGGTAGGATGGCAGTCAACTCTTCATCGAACTCCAACTTCATCGACTTTTGAAAGGCTTTTGATGCCATCAATCGAGAAGTGATTTAACAGCTGCTTCAACACTATGGAGTATCACAAACCTTTATCCACCTCATTTGACAGCTGTATGACGACGCTACATGTCAAGTGATTCGCAGTGGAAAACGCAGTCATGCATTTGAAGTGAAGGCATGAGTGAGACAAGATGGTCTACTATCATCGATGATCTTCCTGATTGTGGTTGTCTAGACTGGACTGAACTGGATCATGCAACAAACTGTGGGGAGCAGTAAGTGGGGTACATGCTGTTTGATCGATGAAAAGACGCTAGAGGATTTGGATTTCGCCGATGATGATTTATATCTAATGTCGCATAAGCTTGAAGATCAATAGGCGAAAACCAACAAGTTGGCAGATGGGGTGAGTCAATGAAAACAGCACTTCAGGTGAATGTGCAGAAGAGAGAGGTGATGAAAATACCAATCATCATCAACAGGAGAAATGCAAAGGAAATTTTCTCTTTCACCTTCCTGTCTAGGCTGCATCGTTTCAACTACAGGCGGCAGCACAAATGAGGATGTCAAAACCAGGATCAGAAAGACAGCAAGACAGGCATTCATTAACCTGAAATCAGTGTAGAGATCTACTGCAGTGCATTGCATTGCACCTACCATAAAGCGTGAACAAGATGCGGATTTTCAACACCAATGTCAAGTTAGTGCTTCCATGTAGTGGTCCGGAGAGTTGGCGCATCACGAAAAGCATTTCCAACAAACTGCAGGTATATATCAACCAACAATTTCCTACACTCGATACTGATAATCTGATCAGATGGCTTTAATAATAAAAATAAGCTACAGGGAATTCTGGCTGGCTGGCTGGCAACGAACCAACCAAGAACCTATCGAGGATCAAATATGGATTGGCCAAGGACTGAGAAGACCGTTTGTGGATGTCGCGCGTCAGACCAGGCCCTCGAGTGGAACCTGCAAGAGGGACGATGAGTTGGGCATCCAAGGGTGACATGGAGGTGATCATGTGAGTAAGAAACGAAAGCTTATGGGCAGTCGTGAAGTCAGGTTCAAAAGAGTGCAGAGAAGAGAGTGAAATTGTGACATGCTAGTGAAGCCCTTTTCCCTACTATTAACCTAAAGGACAAATAACAAAAAATAATACTGTACGTATAACTGGGGGATTTAAAGAAGTTAACGAGAAGAATAGTCTTTGTCTACTCAAACGGCTTTTGGATTATAATATTAGTTTTTATTGATTCACATTTCTGTCCACATTCAATATAAGCTACACACATGATTATTTAGGCTTTTAAACCCTATTCTTTATTTTAGGCACTACCAAATAGAATCGGTGAACTGGTTAGTTTAGTACAACTAGAGTTGGAGTCGAATCAAATCACATCACTTCCTTTAACTATTGGACAACTATGTCAACTACAGATACTTAATTTAGATGTAAACAATTTATCTAGACTTCCTTCAACTGTCGGGTAAGCAGTAATCTAACGATAATTGTCATAACGTTACAATTAAGATTATTTAATATTCCATAATCTGTTTTTCTCTGCAGGATGTGATTATATATAGGTTAGTTGTCATTCTAATAGTGTTTGAAAGAAAAAATTTCACATATTTTACATATAAAGAAAGAAGATGATTTTTTATTTGTCACACCTATACATTTTGTGATAGGTAAATGGTTTTATTCAACAGTGTAATCTACTTCAGCCTATAGTGAAGGACTGAGTAACCAAGAAACTACATCAGCAACGTCATGTCTTTTGTGATAATAGAAATGAGTGGTTGAAAGATGAACAGGATAAGAAAGAGCGTTAAATCCAGTAAACAATAGTCACCAGAATAGATTAGCAACGATCCCACTAATTGTAGTACCAAGTGACATACTTTCGCTTCTACTGGTTAACATGATTACAAAATTCATTTATGGCTGGTTGATGAGTACTATATACGAGACCATTGACCAAGACATCTTACCGGTTTATTCCAAAATTATCATAATGAGCAACTACTTTCCAAATTATTTTGTATACGTACTTTACAGCCTGATACAAAGATAGAATTACCATCTGTCTAGACCGGCTTTTATAGGGAAAACATGATTTCTTCTCGGTAATCTACTGTTTAGTCCATATTTTACTGTCGTACATTAGATTGATTGGTCGTGGGAGAACAACCTGTTTTATGCTGTCTAGTCCTGGGTGTTGACTGACTTCTGTTCATCATTTTTAAAATGTGGCCACCAAGCCAAAAGGCTCAGCATAGCGATGAACTAACAACTGTCATACACTTTTGTGTACCTCAAACTTTCAACAATTCGATTTGGCAGGAAACAGATATTAACAAAAGTGATGAGACTGATTTAAAACAAACTAAAGATGTGAAAAATGTGAATAGTTTGGCTTTAAAAATGTTAACAATATAATGAACTGAAGCATTTATTGTTCAGTGAAGGGTTTATTGCTCATACTTCAATATTGTTTTATAGTTCATAGCTTTTAAAAGTAACTGAAAAATATTGAAATGGCACATCATTACACTTGAGTTAAATTCATGAAGCTTTCTAATTGAAACGCTTTCATTGACCAGATGCAAGTTGGTACCTTTCATCATGAACGATTTCTAAATTTCCTAGCTTCAGTTTGTCATCATGTGACTATGACTGATATGCGACGATACTTATTTTAAACTATTTGAGACATTTTGCACTGAACTGACTTTTGGTATAGGCAGCGCTCGATTTCACGCTATCGAGATATCTGACCACCTATCAAAAGACGAATATACTGCTCTGCAGTTCGTTCTGTCCTGTTATTCGACTATGGGACATAGCCCTTAAAAGTGAAAGATATGAAGCAGTGATGCGGTTTTAATGAAAGGTGTTTTGTAGCATTGCCCGCGTCGAATCACCGAGTGGGCAATGCTGAGGTTAGCCGAAGTGTACCAGGCAAAGAAGGTGGGTCTATTGATGAAGTTGTGAACCTTTATCGACTGATGTGGCTTGGGTATGAGCTGCTCATGCCAAGCCACCGCCTAGCTAGATGTGGCGTGCTGAGGAAAGTTGGTTTAGGTTAGGAAAGGGTTCAGGATGATTAGACCTAGGTCTGTCAGCTGCAATGAATTCTCTAACTGTTGGTCTAAATCGTGTGGGGAGATTGAGACTGTCTGGTTAGGGTCTCTGAGACGGAAGAACTCGGTGGGTCATAATTCTTGGTGAAATGGTTAACTATTTGAACTATCCTTTATCTTCCAATTGTTAATTCGCTTTCACAACTTTGTCAACTCTGACATCTGTTTCTATCCATCTGTTTTTGCATACTACTGTGAAGTACGGTGACTTAAACCGATGCCCTAATGTGGAGTTCTATGACGATTTCATCTGACTGTCTATCAGAGTGAAAATGCTTCTGTATTTTACTGTAATACTGTGCTTTATTACTTATTTGTTTGTTCGATACTTGTACACTCCATAAATGACTGTTTTCTTTCTGAGTAGATAGTAGGTTGGGTTTATATCAGCGTGTCAGCTGGTTGACTTGTCATTTTAACAGTGAGTCTTTAGGAATTCTTTTATAGCCTTTAAACCTTCTTTTTGTAGAATTTTCACATCCTCCAAGTTGAATTCGTGATCATGATTGTCTATGTGTATTGAAGCTAATTGAGAATCCTTATGTCGTTTAGCTGCTGTGAGGCAATCGTGAATGATTTGAGCAATTTTATAACCAGACTGGTCAGTACATTGGCGGCAGATTATGCAAATTACACTTATCCTGTATTCTGTTTCCAAGGAAAACTTCTAGATGCACTAAGTGATGTACAGTGATTTCGTCAGTTTGTTTGCCGAAATGGAACGGTCGGTTGACAGTCTCTGAGACATTTTTGATTGAGAATGGCATAAAGTCCAAATTGGTTTCGGGTAACCGCATTGTGCTCTGGTTTGCTGACAGATACTTTTTGATAGATTTGAAAGAATAAAAAAGATTTCGGCTCTAAGCCTCATTGGTGTTTTCTTCAAACTTACTTTGTCCTTCAGTGCTGTTATGTGTCTTGAAAATAACATTAGTATACATAATTTCTTCGAGACTGTAATATGTTTGGTTTTGCATACCCTGGTTTGGCAAGTTAGCTAACTGTTGATTTTAGCCACTGCATCGCTGCTTCTTCAGTGAATCCTGAAACTGTTGGCTTAATAGTTGTTCTTTTACCAGTTGGTAAATCTTCCATTCAGCTGTGAATAGATTTTAGGGCATACATCGGTTAACTTTAGTGGGTTGGGAAGAGTAAGTCGCGTATAGTCCTAACGAAATCGGTCTTTCTTAAGAAAATGTTCACTGTCACATCATGGCATACCATTCATTTGTGACCATCTATATTCCCGTCTTTTGTTCGGCCAGGTTATCTGGCTGTCTACTTTCATTCCTTATGTAGATCGAAGGAAGGTATTCCATGTTATGAAACCTGTGTTTTCAGTGTGATATCTATTTTAATCTGAAATCATCTAAGAAAAGCCTAATTTCAAAAAGCTCAGTGAAACGACAACAAAATCATTTACCTCTAAAGTACACGCTGTAATGCTCCTAGAATCTAACTTCATTCCTCCATAAAAGCAAAGATTACATACGACTGACATCAAGAAAGACAATATGAGCTAGTCAAGATGTTCGTCGATCATAGGGAAAACCTTGATATTGTGTTCTTCTGAGAGAAAATAAATGTGAGGTTACCGTATCCTAAAATTTTTATCTTAACTTACACTATACCATTTTCAAGAATTAAGAATGATTTATTCAGTTTTAGCATACAAATAAGACATTACAAGAATAAATTATTCCTTGACACTGCTTTGCATTCCAATCTTTGTAAAAATCTATTCTTCTGTCAGTATATACATTTTCATGGCTAGCTTCACCTTTCTCACATGTCTAAACACATCCAAAGCGACCTAATTTAAGAATTTTCCTTGTGTGAACACGGTTTGCACCGGTTGTGGTAGTTTCAAGAGAAACAGTTCTCAGAAAAGGACATTATTGAACGCTCTTGGGTCAATAACTTCTTGCTTGCGTGCGAGGACACCAGTAGCTAAGTTCTTCCCTTGCTATACATACACCATGTTTCTGCATTGTCTGGCCTGCATGGCATGAGCTGGATAGTGTTTATTGTCGGTTTTATGCTGGTGTTTCGGAGTATGGTCAGACGTAGAAAGGAGTAATATATAAATAAATAAAGGTTATCAAAATGAAAACTATGTACAAGTATGAAAAGCAGCAGGCTAACTAACTAATTTAGGAATTGTCCTTATGAGAACTTGACAAATGCAGAGACTGATCACTGATTATTCGTAGTTGTAATATACTCACGTATACGAGACCAAGGAAGAATACAATAGCGTAGTTAGATGGAATAGCATATTTGCGAGGTCGTGTCACAATACCAATGCGTTCCGACTGGCTGGCTAGTGGGTCGATTATGAGCAGTGCAACGTAACATGACACAGTGTCAAATGGCGTGGATGCTTGACCGTATGTCTTCAGCTTAGTGAGTCCGATAAAACTATGAAGGTCAGCATCAATGTTGAATCTCATCGAAAACTAGGTTATTGATTCTGGGGACGTATGTGATGTTACAGTACCTTATAAATCCCATCGGTTTTCTTTATGTATCATTTTATCCGCTACATCTTTACTGCTATCTGAAATTTTGTATTGTTCAGTGAAATTATGATTACTATTTGGAGATTTTTTCTAATTGTTGTCCTGTTCATCTTGAAATATGCAGTCAAAAGTTTGCCTTTTATTCTTATTTATCTTAGTCTTGTCTGCTTTCAGTGTTCCATGCAGATTTAAGTCTTTTCTTAGTTTCATACTCCCACTTTCTAATTTTTTTACGTATATCTTATTGCACAACAGTTTATAAGAAGGTAACTATCTCATAAAGTATTTGAGTACTTTCAGTAATTGAAAGTATTGCTACATTCTTTTATATTAATCAGCAACATAAATAATTGTTTTACGATATTATATATTCTCTTAAAGACCTTACTTTGGTGGAGAATAAGAAGAGATAAGCAAACATTAAAAGATTTGCATGTAATCTCTTTTCAATACTTCTTATTTATTTTACAGCTTTAAAATAAATACTACAAATTTGAAAAAGCATTCGTTTTCTAATTTTTCAAGAATTACATAAGCTGTACTGCTAAATGTATGGAAAAAGTTAGTTATTACTTACTTCTTTTGAGAAGAAAACTATTTCAGCTTAGAAAATTATAATATTTGGAATGTGAGTAAACATGCTTCAAGTAGTGACAAAAATTGGGAGAATAATAATCATTAGTAAAGCATATCTGATTCTTTAACTGAAAGTGACGAACTATACGTAGTGTAATATACTGTATACGACCAAGGAAGAATACAGTTACAGTTACTGTATAGTAAGTGAACTTATTGATCATAACAAAAAAATACTGAAATTACAGCCATTAAAAATTTAACGTAGTTGAGTAAATATTATTTAAAAGAGCATATCGTAGCCAAGTTAAAATAATGAATATAGGAAAGAGATTATGCAAAAACTGGATAGTTCAAATAGGGCTCTTCATTTTATGAACTCAGTTAAATATTGAATTTTATCAACTTTGAAAAGGCTTTCAACAGCGTCGACCGACGAGTAAGTGCCACAAACCTTTATCAATCTCATTCAACAGCTATATATAGACGCCATATGGCAAGTGTTTCGCAATGGAAAGCTCAGCGACACCTTTGAAGTGAAGACATGAGTAAGACAAGGCTGTCTACTATCATCCATGACCTTCCTGATTGTGGTCGACTGGATCATGCAGCAAACCATGGGGAATGAGAAGACGGGCATACGCTGGACTGATGAAAACAGCCTAGAAGATTTGGACTTCACAAATGATGATGATTTGTGTTTAGTGTTGCACAAACTTGAAGACCGACATGCGAAAACTAACAAGTTGACAGAAGAGGTGAGGCAGCGAAAACGGGACTTCAAGTGAATGTAGGGAAGACGGAGATGATGAAGATACCCAACCAACAACGACATCAACAGCAAGCACCAATCACCATGATCGGGAGAAATCTCAAGGAAGTAGTCTCTTTCACCTACCTGCCCACCTACGTAGGCAGCATCGTTTCAACTACAGGCGGCACAGGCACAGATGGGGTGTCAAAACCAGGATCGGGAAGATAGCAAAACAAGCTTTCACTAATGTGAAATCAGTAAAGAGATCTACTACACTCAGCATAAAGCGTGAACAAGATGCGGAATCTCAACACCAATGTCAAGTCAGTGCTGTTACATTGTTCAGAAACTTGGAGTGTCACGAAAAGCATTTCCAAAAACTACATACATTCATCAAAAGCTGCCTACGCTGGCTTGATACTGAAGATCTCATGACCAGAATAATATGAATAAGCAAGGAGGAACTCTGGCTGGGTGGCAATGAAACAATATAGAACCTATCATGCAGAAGAAGCTGGAGATGGAATAGGCATACACAGAGTAGGCCAACTGCGGATATCATGCATCACGCCAGGCCCTCTAGTTGAATCCAGAGGGGAAACGACAAGTTGGGTGTCTGAGGTGAGGGTGACATGGAGGAGATCATGTGAGGAAGAAATGAAAGGTTTTAGGCAGTCGTGGAGCTAGGTTCAAAATATGGCAGGGAAGAGAGTGCAATGGAGGCATGCTACTGAATCACTGTGTTCCATTAGTAACCCAAGGGAAAAACAAATGAATAAATATTGAATTACTTTGCATTTAGAATTATTGAAGTGCACAGAATTAAAACCGGACTTGTTATTTTTGTTCCACATGCTCATGTGAACTAACACAGTCAGCCAAGCATGTACCTTAAGATTTTGTATCGTTTTATAAATTTGATTGGTTTTATTGCTTTCTTATGCGAAAACATAGTTTGGTTCACAAAAAATTTTCTGTTAGTCTGTTTAACTTCAGTTTTTCGACTTTCCATCATCGACTTTTATCATTTTCAACGTTTCTAGTTTCTTGTGTTGTGTTACTTCATTTAACCTTCCCAATAAATGCAACTTTTAACAGAAACATTTTTATTACATCGCGATTTTCTTGTTTTATTCACATTACCGAATCCTTTGTTGGTTTATTAGCCTTGCCACGTTTTCAACCTTTCGTTATCTATGTACACTCCATGAAAGACCTAAAAATCTTGCATAACCCCTTTTTAGTACAGCTTGAGAACGAATTCGTTGAATGCAGTCGTCCTCATGAAACTGACCATTTTTGGATTTTACACCTGGAATTTTGAATTTATTACAAAACAGAAGCTGTCCTGTGATAATATTTTTCAGTAATTGTAAGAGAAAGTTGTTGAGAATTATGTATAGTACCTGACTTCATTTTATTTTCTGGGGCATATTATTAATCGTGTACATTTGAATTTCTTTAAATTAGAACGACACCGTTCTATTTTCATTGACTGATTCTGTTTATTATTTCACTGAATGAGCAACTTTTAATTTCCTTCTTATTTGTTTACAGAAATCTGAGCAATTTGAAGAAACTTAAAGTGAGGGAAAATCTTCTTCAACGTTTACCACCTGAAATTGGTGAGTGTGCAAACTGGGATTATATGGTTTTGTAAGTAAAGGTGATTGTTTACTCAAAACACTCAACACCTGTAGGCATACATTTTCTGTGTTTAAATAAGGGGTCATAAAAGGGTGTTATTATTTATTGGGGTTGTCTTAACTCTAAAGACTGTTATAAATATAGTGGTCTAGCTGATGTCTAACATAGAGCTAATATATTATGCCTCTTTATTTCGAAATTCACATGTACACTACTAACATTTAATTAGGTAGTTAAACAAAAGTCTTATAATTTTTAACAAGGTTATCATGGTGTTGACCTCATTTTTTGTAACATCGAAGTATGATGGCACAAATTCAAACCAGAACTTGGGTCACTGCCAAATTAAGATTCTAGACCTCTGATTAGATTAATGTTTAGTGCCAGCAGAAGAATTAAGGATAAACATTTTCTCCTAATTAGGATTCGTCCAGTAGATGTACCTTACTCTTGTATGTGACATTCCTAGGGAGACTTGAAATCGCAGTTCATTACTTTGAACCCCAAAGTGTTATCTCCCAAGCTATTAGGAGAAAGCAATCACTCGTCGCTCAATGGCAACGGGGGTAAGACGGCTTGTCACCTCAAGAAGTGTATCTTCAGCTATAACTCAGAATATGTCACGAGAATTCAAAAGTTTGAAATAAACAGCAAACACTTGTTTGGTCTGTTCACAAGTACTTTTTGATAAGCTGTCATCAAATTTAACAAAGTTAACAATAAGGTGTTTCCTTTAGTCTTAGGTTTATTATTCATTTCGTTGATAATATTGTCTGGAAACGTTTTAAGATGTTGAATCTCCATTTGCAGAATTTGTGATAAGAAAATCTTATTTTCCTCGTGATTACGACTTATTCTGATGAGTTCTGATCTTGTGTAAAATGTGTGCTAATGAACTTAGTGAACTGAAAATATGAAGAAAGGAATGTGCGTTAGCCATGTGTCCTACGAAAAGCTGATATATAGTTATTTGTCGTAATGTAAAGATAGTTGGAAATAGTTTCCATTTGCATAAAAGAAGACTGACATCAGAAACTTTACACATTCTAACTTATCTCGAAGCAGTAAACAGTAGCAATGACAGATTCGCAAGCTGTGGGATACGGTGTAGTAAATCAGAACAGGTGAAGTCTAAATTCAACTTCGAAAGAGTGAGGTATAGTTACAGTTAAAAAGGTATGTGCTAGTCATGGGACCTGAAGGTCCTGGGTTCGATCTCTGGCGAGGTTATGGGTGCCCACTGCTAATGAGTCCTATACTAGGAGGAAGCAGCTTTTCAGTGCTGTCAGGTTGTCAATGTTTCTCCAAGTGATTTCACTCCAGAAAGAACCCAAACCTGAAAATATTCTTTCAAGGTAATGAATAAACAAATTTATCTCGTTACTTCAAACGCCAAGGCGTAATCCACTATGCTACGGAGGAACGATAGCCACTTCCTGTAAAACGAGTCCCAAATAGGACGGAACGCGCATCCTGGATTCTTCTGCTAGCCACAACCAACCAATTTATCATAATTAACATCCAGGCAATATCGAGGTATCCGCATAGGAGCCCATATGCCAATAGAGGTCGAACAATTCGATCCAAAAAAACAAGGGAGTATAACAAGTATGTCAATAAATGGTAAATTTATCTCATTATTATGCCACTGGATAGTTGATACATTAATATACGATATACATGAACACCTCAATGTCATGATCATCTTCATTGAAGTGAATCATTATAGCATAATGAATATTCAATGGATAATGAGGTTAGCGTGAACAACAACCAGAAATTTACCGGATAAGTGATTGATATGCAACATTTATTGCACTGTTCGACTACCTTTTTCACTTCGTCAGATTTCGATTAACTTTAACTAAAGAAACTATCTTGTAAGAAAAACTGGAAAGATCTTTGTTGGATTTCCTAAACATACTGAAATTATGCCATGGCTTGAAAATTTATGTCGTTGATTGGAATAAATTGACTGGTCACTGTTGATGTGTGAGCTACAGTATAAAATCAGTTAAACACTTATGATGGACTATAGGGAGCAGTTGAATCTAGGAAGAGGGTTTTGTCTTATTCAGATCTTATTAGTTAGGTACACCTGACTCACACACATATGTAATATTATTCGCGCGGAGACTCAAGACCGGTATCCATTACTTAAAATGCTGAAAAGTTATTCCCTAGACTAATGCGTCAAAATACCTACTTCCTTTGCTATGAATACAGACTGATACCATAACTCGTAGATTGCCGTCGGTGACTGAACCTAAGTAATTGGTTACGATCGGGATTTGGGCCCCTGTGAAAATGGTTCCATACAAGCAGTAATATGAGTTTGACGCTATCGCTGCGAGTCTAAGAGAAGCAACATCAAACTATTTCACACAAGGAGTGTCCAACTTAACTCGGAGACCTAGTGAATAACACTTGGCCATTTGATTAGTTCGGATCTAGTCCAGAACACCATCACTCACTGAAAATAGGCATATACGCTTTACAAGTTCCAAGCAGGACGTTACATATGTCTTGACTTTCACTGTTAGCCACTATCGTTCATTGGCAACACAGTGAAAGAAGTCGAATTCGGGGTCAACTTATTTCAGGACATTTGTATTGACTACTGCCTGCATATTTATCACTTCAATCAATGATTTTTTTCATACGCTGAGTTATTCATGCTGTTTGGTGATTAGCTCAAAAATATTGCAACCTGATAATATGTACACCACTTCAGATGTTTTTCCATTGTCTTTCTAAAAATATTTTAGGGAAACTCAAAAGTCTAACACATCTTTACTTGGCAAATAATAAGCCACTGGATTTACTTCCGATTGAATTAGGAATACTACCCTGTCTGCGTTATCTTAGCATTGAGGGTTGCAATCTTAGACAAATGCCTGCTGAAGTAACAAAAGGTGGATCCAACTCTGTCATCAAAGTAAGTTGTTTCACTAATATGTAGTAAATGCAAAGTTATTTTCATTTTATGTCTTTGGACAGGATCTCATAGTACAACTGTAAGACTACTTCTTAAATATGCAAGAGTTAGAGTAATACAGGACCTGTACCTAAGATCTTTGTTTTGTACTGCATTCACAGTTGATGATTTCAACAAAGAACTTTCCACATGTTATTTATAAAAAAAACCAATATCATATCGGTTTCGAAAGAAAGGTCGATTAAACGCTAAATACTGAGTAAGTAGACTTGGGAAGTTATTTAACAAGTATACAACAGCTGTCAAAGGACTTGAAAAATTTTTGAATAGGGTTAAACAGAAGGCACCTTAATACACAAAAATTACAACACTGATGTTTATTCACAAAGGAAAGACTCTTAATGTCGTTGCAGCCAGCATGTTATCGACCTAATTTGGAGCTCTTGATGAATTAGACAAAAGTGACCCCCACTACTACATATAAAATTCAGTATAAATTGTAAAATTGTATGTCTTTTAGCTTTAATTGATATTTCTGTAAGTTAGTGACTATTTTTTGTTCAATCTCTTTCCCCTAGTACTTACGTGACCTTCTATGTGTTCATTCTCGAATCTGCCAAACCTCTGCAACATAACCATCTATTATCTTCATAAAAAGAGCTTCAGATCAATGTGCCTGAAAATCATTCCCGTGTAAATTCTTCACTTTTGACTACTGAGAATTATTTTGCGACTTAGCACAATAATGTAGTTATCTATTCATTTAATTCTATATTTTGCCCTATCCATCTTCATTCTGAGAATTTTCAAAGTGTAAAAGGTTTATTTTCTAAGTTTTTATTTCTTGTTGGCTTTTTATTTATTTTTAGAATATTTTTTTTCATCAATTTCCTGAAATTTTTATCAGAGTTATCTTTTGGACTACTGATCATTTGTAAGTAGTTGTTATTTGTTTATCAAAAGTTCAGATTATTATAAGTCAGATCTTATTTATAAGAGTTACAGAAGCATAAACAGAATGCTTCTCAGTGGTAATATTTGATGAATATAACTGGTTTATCTGTGCTTTAACTCACATGTTTCAAATCATATTCAGTATTTCTGAACGTGATCAATTTCAATCTGAATTTTATTCATTATAAAACTTAGCCAACCACAAATAACCTGAAATAAAATATAACTGGTTCACTCATTCAGTGCACGTAATAGGTCAGACGACCTCAAACTACTTATTTCTTGGGGTCATTATTACTTCTGAATCTCCCAGGTGATCTGCGAAAGATAATAATGTGGGCAGGTTTGGCCGAAAATTTTATGTGGTTAAGCATTGGTTAGTGTTTATCTCAACTTGATTTGCTCCGTTGATGGTTTTAATTGTATTAGTCCACTGGTAATCACAGGCATCATCCAACTTAACCAAGTTGCAATCTTTGTGTGATAATTTGCCAGTGAAATCCAACTTCTAACCTATCTTGTAGCTTGTGACTACATTTAAAAACAGTATAACACATTGAAATATGATGTAAGCCTTAGTAATCAGAGGTGTAGTAGGTCTAGATAGAAAGTTTTATTTACTTTCCCCTTTGGTTTTATGTTTATTCACCATTTGTTCAAGTCAGTTACTGAAATCCACTTATTTTTGCACTGTTCCTTTAGTGTATAAAATGCGTTCATGTATGCTGTCACTTAAGCCTTCAGGTAACTCAATGCAGGTTAACGGAGCGTACTGAAGACTGTTTACAGATAGGTGGACTGTGTTAGATTCAAAGGTGTAGTTATGAATGAATATACTATTTTTTGAGTAAATAATTACTTAAGAAGAATGTTTTCATGCATAACGTTGGAGGCAATATGATAGATAAGATAATCCATTGGCAACATTTACACTGTTATATTAAATCCGCTTATTTAAAAGTGTTTACTTGCTGGGATGTCTTAAACAACAATTTCCTTTTCAATTTGGATAATGACAAGCACGTGACACCTGTTTTAGGTTGATAAGCCTTCTATTTTTATAAGCCTGTAATCTTTTCTGAGTATGTAAAAATATGGAGGCTGTACACATATCATTCCACCCGGCCGTCGATTCTACTAGTCTTTGTTGGCTAGATGATGAAATTAACAATCCCTATACTTATAATAATAGTATGACTTACTATTTATTCAGGATACGAAAATACTGCCCTTTAACATTATCTTGCAAAGCGAAGTTATTCTCACCTGTGGAAACAGAATTACATTCACTAACTTTATTTAGCTGACATATATTTTAAACTGTAAGTCGTATGGTAACAAAAGAAATATCATTGCAAAGCCTGTCAGCTGAACCATATAAGAATATGATGCAATAGGTTCTTAATATAACCACTTAACATTTATGCGAAAATTTAGGCAGACCAAAGGGCGCAACAACCAAAGAGAAACCGAACATCATTTACAAAATCAACTGGAATAATTATGTTCAACACTATATTAGGCTAAGTGGTCACCCCCTTCTCCTTCGTCTACATGAACACCATTTAGGTATTAAACGTTACTACATTTCACCACCCATTTCAATGAACAAGGATAATTATGAAGATGAATTTAATTTTGATAATGTAGAAATTTTGGACAGATGAAACAAAAAGAATATCAGAGAATTCCTAGAAGCTTGGCATTCAGGCCAGTCAGCAGTCAATAGACGTGTAGACATACACTCAGTCTATCAGCTAATGAGAAAAACGATAAATGACAGAAAGATGAGAGGTCAAGCAGAAGAACAGCTAACAGGAAATCTGTGCAGTCAATGACACGACAGTCGAAGGAAACAACTAATCACAAACCAGTTCATCAGGGAAGTTACTTAATCAATCACGGAGCGATACTGACAGCTCATTTCATAATGAAGTTAGTGCTGTGGATGATGTCGTCTAGAAAGAGTATAAAAGCTTCACAATTAAAAAATACAGTTCAGAGAATACAATACAACTAAGAATTATTTTTCCCTTTCTTCCTTTGATTAAAACAAAAATCAATCGATCATTCACTTATTAGGTCAGAAGTGATCATAGTGGTTTGTAAATGAACCAGAATGTACTATGCATCATTGGAAACATTTATGTGAGGAAATCACTGAAACGTAGAGAATATCTATCACAGAGAGATTAGAATTTCAGAGTGCACACTGATTGGTCAACTCTACAAATCGACGGCACATTTAACTGAATAGCTTTTTTTATACCAAAAAAAATGCTTTTCATTGTTGTTTACTTGAAGGGCCCTAAGAAATCTGCTGATTTAAACCACTTGTCAACAATAAGCATTACTTACTCGTTATTTATTGGAATTAAATTGTATTTTAATACTTTTCATAACCCTGTGCAGAATTTAATTGAAATTTATTTCATGATAGTTCACTGAAAATGGAAAATATTTTAGTCAACATAAGGTCATTAGACACACACTTCGCGTAGATAATTTTCATATTCTGAGTCTGTGGAAATGTATCATGTAAAAGAAGTGAAATTCCACAGGATTTTATAACTGACCATTGTATGATAGATAGTTTTAAGGACTGTTCAACAGATTACTACTGATGAAGCATTTTAATGTGTAAAATTAGCAATATTTCCTCCAAAACTGAACTTTAAAAAGGATGCAAAAACTAGGAGATATAAAACATATTACCTTTCATTTGGAATTTGTCTGAAAAAAAAACCTTTTGCTTGTATCATCGATTTACCATACTTGTGTGTGTATGTGTATAATGACTAAATTTTAAGCATAATCTATATCATGGTAACTAAGACATTTCTCTGAAAGGTTTTCACAAACCATAACATTAAGACAGCAACGATAACTCGAATAGTAGTTACAGTAAATATTGTCATCATCCCTTTCATTATTGCTGTCGTCTTGAAAATTACTGCTTGCAAAGCAAGTAGACAGAATTGTTTGTTCATTACACTGTCTTTTAAAGTTAGGCACACATATCTGAAGGTAAGCACACAAGTAAACCAATAAACACGTTTGCAAAGAAAAGTATCCATGAGTATTACAGCGCGCCTGTTGTTTGAAATTACCTTACTTTCTTTTTCTCTAACTTGTACATCTTTAAATAAAAGCTGGTAGTTTATTATAGAGATTAAAATGGAATTCCTCCTAGCACTATCATTATCGACATCACCGAATTCTTCCTTATCGATAATATTCTGCTTAAAAAGCAATATTATTCAATGGCTACAGTGTGCATCAAGCGAGAAAGGATATTCTGATCACTGTATGTAAAGGTATATTGCTGCGATGATAGGTATCCTGGGTGATTTGTTTCCATATAAATGTTAATTTTTATCCTCAACGCAATATTTATCGTCATTTACACGTGAAATATTTATGATAAAGCCAGATATGATGATTGGAATCTTGTAAATATGAATTGGTATAGTGTATCAGGTTGGAAAAGTGTAGCACCTGGCATCACTTTACGTAGATCACATTATATTTGAAGCATATAATAAAAATCTAAAAATTTACGCGCATGTACATAAAACTGAAACCACTTGTACCAATAAAAGCTTATTTGGATCAAGTTGATTTTAAATACACCTATTTGGAGCAGGAAATGTTTATAACTATGCTGGATTTTCTTTTATGAGCTTTGTACCAACATCTGTTTCTTAAAACGTCTGCCACTCATATATATAATACTGAATGGCTGAAGTTATCAATGGATAAATCTACCTTTTATAGCTTATGGTAATTGAGGCCTTATTCTGTGGCAAATAACGATCTGTATTTAGTTCATTTTTCATAATAGATACCATTTTGTTGATTCGATAAATTAAAAGTGCACGCAAATACACATTTTGAAGCAATTATTCTATACACCTACTCGAGTTAACCATATATGTTTCAAGAGAAACTTCATTGGACTTTAACTAAGAATAGTTATGGGGTAGGTGGATTACTTTGACTAAGACGTTCATACTCGATATGTTCTAGTGCCCTTTTCAATTAATTCAGTAGTTTAGCATAACTACTAGGGATCGAAAACATGACTTTCATATTCCTTGGTAAGCAATTTATCACTGGCCCACTGGATTGCAAACCTGCTTCTATCAGTTTGCACACTGCTGATTCCTAAACAAAGACAAAACAGCCTTACAGGGCTCAAAGATTTTCAGTAGTTTTCAGCGGATATGAGGAGATGATTAAAACTACCTTGGAACAAGGTTAAGCTTTCATAATTCTTTTTTTTGGCACATAGTTTCAGTTGCAACTTACTGAATTTTCTTCACTAGGTATGATTTCTTACCTCTGTTTCGTCGATAGCATCAAGATTTATAAAAGTTTTTGTTTTATAATGGCACTTTTTAGGAAGGTAGACGACAAAGACTACCAATCATCACCAAAGTAACCCTAAATTCATCCTAAGAATATGGATGAAGTGAGTTATGCATCTTAAATATAACCCATTCAGTGTGAAATCTGGTAATCTCAGCCAATTATTTGTAGTTAGCAAATTGGGTTATTGTGCGCAAAACAAATTTACCGCTTCACTTGAGAGACGAGTTAGTTTTCACTCGTTTTGGTGGGTGCTTGAAGTCTATTCACCTACAAACGCACACGTCTTTCATCAAGATTTGCTACAATAATTTGTTTTGCTTTTGAGATGGACACTGTAAACCAGTAAATATGAAAAAAATGTTAATCACGAAGTTCTAACATAATGCAAAAAGCTCAGCTCGTATGAGCGCTTATATGAAAACTCGGATTTATAATTTTCGGACGGGACTTTTTGTGCCAAAAATTTCAAATATTCATGCCTTTTGATGAATCTGAATACTACAATAAAAACATAGTTTGAAAGATAATAGGCCACAACTTTTTCCACAGCATTTTTATTGTAGTTGTTTTCAATGTTCATAGGGTCACCTGTTGTTAACCAAACAGATTCGGATTTCCAGATTTCAGATTTGTTGTTTGAAGATAGGAGGCTGGGAGCCTATATTAATCCTTCTCCAGTAGAGTTATGTGCTTGTCCAATCCCCTTTTGAACGAGCCAATTGATGATTCGCACACCACTCCTTCTGGAAGTTGGTTCCAGGTGTTGATTACTCAACGCGAGAACCGGTACTCTGAGGAGACTATGTTCATCCTTTGCTTTTGTAGTCTCCTACTATGTCCTCTGAGGTGTTTCGACCTAGTTGGAAGGAAAAGAAAAGATAGATCA